GTGGTAGAGAAACTCCTGCCTAGAGGAAAGGGGGACAGGCTGGACTGGCACAGTCTGGTGGTGGCATGCAGAATGGACCAGAGGAAGATGCCTAGATTTATCTGGAGTGGCACTTTGGGATGGGAGAGTGAGGGAATTCTATTTGCCTGGCCAGTTCGTTTGCTGAGGTGCATTCTTGAGGACTGTTGGTGGGAGGGCAGCTTTCTGAGTCCAACAATGTCAGCTTACTAATCTTGGTGCCTGTGGCTTCCCTCATCAATCTGGGACAACAGAGAGGGGGTGGGGGAAAAGGGATAATCAGGAATGGGGGGCCTCCCAGGTCTGGCCCCTGCCAGGTTTCTAAGTATGGGTTGGAGGCTGGAGGGGTCACTGCTGTAGAGGCCAGATTTCCCTGGAGGGGGTTCTCCTGCACGAGCTCCCTCCAGGCAAAGGAGGAGAAGGAGGGGTCGGGAGTCTTTGGGTGTCTCACTGTCAACTCTTCCTCCTGCTGCTGTTCCATTTACCTCAGATATGGAGTCAGAGCTGCTACGGGGCAGTCAGGCCATCATGCTGCGCTCGGCGGACCTGACGGGGCTGGAGAAGCGTGTGGAGCAGATCCGAGACCACATCAACGAACGCGTGCTCTACTATGCCACCTGCAAGTGAGGCTCCAGGCCCCGGCCTGGCCCCACTCACCTGCCCCCTTTGCTCTTAGGGGGTAGGTTGGGTTGGAATGCTTTCCAGCTCCAGGAGACTTTGCTGCTGCCTAAGGCACAGCCTGGACCACCCCTGGTGTGCAGTTGTTAAGGTCACCCTGGACTTCTGCGGAGCCTGAGTGGCTGGGACGACTAACTACATTTGAAGGACAGAAGTGGTGGAGGTGGACATGTTACCATGACTAGGAGCTCCCGAGTCAAGGGAGCTGGGCCGGGCAGTGTCCTCGCCCTTTGTTCTCTGTTGTAGCTGAATCCTAGACCAACACAAACACTTAACTAAAAATAATGTAAAAATGAAAAGCCCAATAAAAACCTGAGGAAAGAAGCCTGGTTCAAAGAGGGAAAATGGTTCATCTCCCCACTACGCAAAGCTTAGAGATGAGCATCTCTCCTGTGGGAAAGAGAAGCCACTGCTGCTTGTTCCTCCTTCCCTATGGAGTCCTGGGTGCTCCTCTGCTCCAGCCCCTGGCTTGCTCCCTCTGCACCGTTCAGCTTGCTTGGCACCTGGACCTAGGGATCCCTCTGCCCTGGGATCTTAAGGGTCTGTCCTTGAGAGGCCAGAAGAGTGGTCTTCACCTCTGAACGGCTATATAGCTTCTCCTTTACAGACAGGAGATAGAAATCCCAGGAGGCAGAGTAACAAAATCACCAAGTTTCCAGAGGCAGGACAAAGACTAGGATCTGCGTCTCAGGAGGTCTCAAATGTAAATGAGTGTGTGTGTGTGTGTGTGTGTGTGTGTGTGTGAGGAGGACTGTGAAATGATGTAAACGTTTGTGTGCTAACCACAGCCCAGGTAAGCATTGTGCCAGGCATTTCATCTACATTCCCTTCTTGATCAATGTCAATCATTTAAATTATTCACTCAGTATCATGCTGGGCACATTACCTGCCTTATCTCATGATATAGGGGACACTGTTATTCCCATGGGAAAGTGAAGAAACCAAAGACTAAGTAACTTACCAAGGTTATAGATATGGCAGGTAGGGCAGAGCTGGGGCAGAGCTGGGGCTCAAAGTCATGATCATCTAATATGGTCATTAAGAACAGCCGCTGGAGCCAGACTGCCTGGGCATCCACAGAGCCTTCCCCAAGGGGTTAGGAGGAATAGCTGAGTCAGTTGTGTAACTCATGTTGCTGGGGGCCTGGCACCTTGGCTGCTCCTAACACATCAGCCACAGCTGGACCCTCCCTGACCTCAGCCGTCCATGCCCTCTGCACTCCCGGGGCTTCTGCTGGGTTTGAAAGAACCAAATGAAGCCTTAGAGAAAAATATGTCCATTTTATTGAGCACAGCACTGAGCATGAAGCTGGAGGGGCTGGGGTGGTGAGGAAACAAGAGAAGGACAGGAACAAGGAGCCTGATTTTCAGGGAGAGAAAGGGGAAGAGAGGCAGGATTAGAATTCCTGACTGAAGTGAAAAGGGTCAGCTTCCAGTAACTTAATTGGTTGTATGCCTGGAAGGTATGTGGTCAGGATAAGAATGCCTTACAGTCCCTAGTCATGAGTGCCTTTCCATTCCACCCTGGAGGGTGTGGCACTGCTTTTAGATTGAGGCACAGAGGGAGGGGACAGAAGTGTGGCCTGGAGCTGGTTGGCTGGGTCTCAGTGCAGGTGAGAATTGATTCCACAGTTAGGGATCAGAACTTGGAGAGCTCACGGCAGGCCCCAGGGAGCTGCCTGTCCTTCGTGCAGATGGGCAAGCAATTACGTCAGTGAGCCCATTCTGGCCATGAGGATGGAGCGTGTGCAGAGCGGGGGCTGGGTGGATGCTCCATATGGCTTTGCTTGGAGAAGGTGACACAGCCTGGCCAGCCCATTAAGCTTTTCACGACAAACAGCACAAACCCAGGTGAGAGCTATCTACGCACACTGCACAGAGCCACGGCACGTAGGGTGTG